AAACAGGAGTGGGACTTGGAAGGCTGGGCAGGGGTGCCTTGTGCACTGCGGTAGGGGCTGCTGGAGCCAGTATGGAGGGTGCTGTGCAGACAGGCAACCTCCGAGGGCTGTACCACCTGGGGGGCTGGCAGTCAGGGTCCCACTTAAGGCTCAATGTATCGGTATGTGAACAACTGCTCACACTGCTGCCAGATGAGGCTGGGGTGTGGGCAGAGCAGGCTGGGATATGGCAGGCTTGAAACGGAACCACTTGAATCGCAGGGCGATTCCTCAGAGTGCAAACTGCCAGCTCTTTGGGAAGGGAGCTCTGAATTCCCCGGCCGGCTGAGGCTGGGGGGACTGGTCTGTGCCTCACCAGGGACTGTCGAAGGCCCTGATGTTCTAGCTGACTTTCCAGGGAAGCTGTGAGTTGCCCATTAACATGTGAACTAGTTAAGGGAAACCAACTCCAAGTCTAAGAAGGCCCCTAAGGCCCCTTGGAATCCCCTGAGCCATTGGGACCCTCTGTAAGGGCCAAATTGGAAGGCAGCTCAGGCAAATGTTTGCTAGTGAAGAACAAAGTGCTATCTGACTATATAAATCCTATTGTTGGCATCTGTATTTTTTTAAGTACGTATACATTTGACTCACTTTCTCTTCCTCCTGAAAAGCTGCTACTAAATCCAGGGTGGAGGACAGGATTTGCAATAGTACCTGGCATTCACCTTGTCCCTACTGTACACCAGTGCCCAGCAAGGGCTCAGAGGGGGCACTTCAATTATTCCTCTCACCAGTTTTTGATGAAGAAACGAGTCTTTCCATCATTTAAAGATGAGGACAGTGAGGCCCATGGTTACACCCAGGCCATCGGACTCCTGTCTGAGAATCAGGAGACTTCCTGACCACAGCTGGCTTGCCTTCTGCATGGTTCTGTTGTTCTTCGCAGCAGGCAGCCAATGTGGCTAGACGGATTTCACTCCCAGACAGGAAAACAGGGGCTCAGAAAAGCCAGAGCAGGGAAGGGAAGCCAGGACAGGCCAAGACTACCTAGAGCCGGTCTGTTTATACTCGCTAGGCATGTCCTCTGCAGAAATGGGGTCTGCTGCCCACCTGGAGGGCCGCCATCCCAGGGTCTTGAGTGTCCTCTGGGGGCCAGGTGGAGTGCTGCTCTTCCGTGGGAGACTGCCTTCCTTGGCCCAGCCTCCCCCAGCTCTTCTCCACTCTTTCTCTTGTCACTGGTCTCTCCCAAGATGAGCAGTCTAGCCTGCTGCCTCTCCTTCCTCCCTCCTCCCACTCTCCTGGCAGTCCCGGAATCTAGCCTCCGCCTGAAGCTCCAGGAAAACCCAGCAACAGCCCAGCCCCACTTCCACGATGACCACAAACCCTCCATTCTGAGTTACATCCCACTCCCTGTGTGCATTCACACCCAAAGGACACATGGGCAGTGGCCATGCAAAAGCCGTGAGGTGACACTGCTGCGACTAACACAAAGGAGGCTGGTGAGGCTGAGGGCAGGTGTTTACTGGGATGAGGCTTGTTGAAATGTGCTTGGACATCACACAAGGTTTGGCAGGACCTAAAAATTGGAGTCTTATTATTTAACTAGGCTCAAATATCCCTTACAAAGCTTCCTACTTAGAATTTTACTTCTCTTCCTCTTCGTCTCTAGGAACATTTTTATCACAGCGCTCACTCCAACATCAGTCTTCCCAACTATAAAATGGGCCAATAGCAGCAACCATTTCACAAGGCTGTTTCAAGGATTAAACGACCAAGTAACCTGGTAGATCAGAGCCCATCTTGCGGTCAGTGCCCAGTAATGCCAGCTGTTATTAGCTATGTCCCCATCTGTTCGCCCCCTGGCCCTCGACAGACTCTAAACTCCCTGACAGCAATGGAGACATCTTGCACCTGTTATTATCTCCCAAACCTTACTTATGATAACGGACAGTACTCACTGAGGGCTCCCCTGGTGCCTTCACAGCATCACTTGATCACACTCAGACACTAATCTCTTCTGTAATCCTCACGATAACCATGCAGCCGGGAGGATGGTTCCCTGCGGCAGGGGCTGCCCTGTACTTTATATGACATTGAGCAAGACACTCTGCACCCACTAGAGGCCAGTAGCACCACTAGCCCAGCTATGACAACCAAAAATGTCGATAGACATTTCCCAAGCGTCCCCTGAGGGGGCAGAATTACCCTTGGGTGATAACCACCATGGTACAGGCATGCCTGCTTCGTCCCCACTTATCAGATGAGGAAACAGAGGCACCGAGGTCAAGACCTTTGCTCAAGGGTCTCATGGCTGAGCAGGGTGGCGCTAACCAGGGAATGTGACTCTCCACTACAATGTGTTAGCTCACCCTCACCCACAGCCTCCACTTAAGTCACAGAACAGCCATGGTCCTCATAGACAGCCTGCGGGTGGCCTTCACCAAGGAGGCAGCACAGGAGAGATGGGACGATGGCCACAACCCTAGGAGGGGGTTGGCACCCTAGTGCCAATAAACTAGGCCAATAGAATAAAACTGTCCCAAGGGTCCCTTTACTTGTTGCACTTGCTTCCCAGGATTATTATGGCCTTGTCTGGTGCCCCAGGTCTGTGCACCCTAAGTCCTCACAGAAAAGCAGTTACTAAGAGTGCCTTTTCCTTTAGCTCCAGGTACAGGCTCAGACCCACTGCCCTCTTCTCTGCCATCCACACACCACGGCCAACTATCACCAGTCTCTGCTCCTGTTTCAACTGTGTGACTAGAGGTAGCCACCCGTCCTCAGTACCCAGCCCAGAGCCCAGCCTTGACCCAGGAAGCCCCAGCGTCGGCCCAACCAGGCAGGGGAAAGGCCTCTTTATGTGGGACTGCTGGCCCAGTTCCCACCCCTCCCAGAACCAGGAGGTCAGCCGGGGAGGGGGCCAGGGCCCAGATGGAAGGCAGTTCTAGGAGCTATGGGGAGACTGGGGGAATAAAAGTGACAACCCATCATTAATAAATCCAGATCTGGCTGATACTAGATCCAGCAGTCTGTCTCCCCTGCCTCAGGTGCTGAGGCTCCCAAGTCAATGTTCCCAGGATACACTGGTAACAACAATGCAGTTAGTTCATAGAGAAGAACAGAGAGCTAAGGCAGTCTGACCAAAGCGGGGAAAAGACAAACCGGGCAAGCAAAGCAAAATTCAGCTCCAAAGCCCAGCCCCATCCTCACAGCTGCCTCCCGTTGCCAGCCACAACTCTGTCACCCTGATCTCTTGGCTCCCAGAAGGGGAATGGGGGATGAAGTATGATCAGGCCTATGAGAGAGAAGCTTCCACTGCTCCAGCCCCTTGGGACACCAGGAAAATTCTGTCTGTTCAAAAGGGTGTTGACCCATTCCTTGGGATGGCAAGAGGAAAGAGAATTCCTGCCAAGGAATCCGGAACACTGGGGAGCTCCTCCAGTCATGATCCTCAAATCCCAGCTCTAGGATTGGGCTGACGATCAGGCCAGTGTCTAGTCATGTGACTTAGGACAAGCCACCCCAAGCCTCAGCTTCTGTACCACAGAGAACTAAGCTGATCTGATGGTGATGAGCAATCAATGAGCTCATCTGACCAGAAATTCAGCACAGGGCCTGGCGCAACACAGCACCCCAGCAGAGCCGGGGGGCCAATAGCCCCAAAGGCCTGGACCAGCCATCACCTGATCATAATCCTCCAAGACACAATGCACAAAGCATTATGTATGTTTACCTCCCAATCCTTCGCCTCCAGGGAATTGGTGCCTGGGAGGCCACCGTATAAGATGGTGGCTGTGAGATCCTATCCCCTAAGTTTGAGCCTCAAAACTCTGGTCACAAAATGTGGGGAAAGAATCTAGGACCCTAAGAAACTCAGGTAAGGGTGGCTGTGCTGCCTCTCTGCAGATACATGGAGGGAGGGGGAGGGGGACGGGGGTGAGTGTGAGTGTGTGTGTGTGTATGTGCGCGCGCGCAAGGGCCCACCCCCCATGGTAAACAAGATGCCCGAGCTAGGTGTTCCAGATTATTTCCCAAGCTGCCCACACAAACACCCACCTGGAGGGCCAGCGCCCTGGAACAGCCGGCAGAGGCTTGCCCCAAGGATAGGCTGGGGACCCAGAACCTGAAGGGAGTGAGGTGTGGGGAAAAGGAAAGCCACCAGGTTTAGCCCAGAGCTAACACCTGGCAGGGAAAAAAGGGGGGCACATCTTGGCACATACCTTTTCATCAACACTAATTTCTCGGGACCTGCCATCACATCCCTACTAGCCTAGCCTAAAAGTCCTGCCAGGCCCCACTCCCAAAGCTCCTACAGTAGTTCCTCAACTTACCTGATCGCACGATTATCTGGCCTCCCCCAACATCTCTCTGACCCTAACCTCACGTGACCCCTGCAAACATCTTCAGGATCTCCTATCCACCCGCCCCTTCACCACGGCCCGGAACTAACTCCGCCCACACCCACCCTGCCCCACTTCCTGGGCTTCTCCTCAGCCGCCCCCAGGCCTGTAACCTGACCCACCCACCTCCTCCTGCGACAGTACCTGCAAGCCGGCCCCGCCTCGCCCCCCCTCCGGGCCATTTCCCTCCGGCCGCGCCACCCACCCCTCCCCCCACTCTGCCCGCCCAAAGCCCGACTCCTCCTCCCCCTCCGGGTTCCCCGGGCGCCTCCTCACTTTACCCCACGGTCCCTCCAACTTCCTCGGCCCCTCAGCACCTGCCCGGCCCGGCCTAGCCCTGCCCCCCCCCCTCCGCCGGGAATGAGGGGAGGAGGTCTAGGCCGGATCTCGCAACCCCCAACCTCGCGGCCGGGTCCGGGGCTGGACACTAAAGGCCGCTGGCAGGGGCTGGGCCTCCCCATACTCGCCGGCCCGGCCACAGTGCAGTCTGTGGGCCTGGTTCCCCCTCTGTCGGAGAAGTTCTCCCCCATGCTCTCCTCATTCAGCCCTTAACCGGACCTCGGATGCCCTCGGGCCGCCCCGCCGAGAGGAGGCCGGAACAGGGCCTGGGGCGGGCCGCCTCACCTGCGCCTTGGCCGCTCTTCGGGGGCTCCCGGCGGGCTCCGCAGCGGCGGCTGGGGCCGGGCCTGAGCCCGGGGCGCGCCCCCCTGCGCCGGGGCCTCGGCCTCCGCCTCCGCGGCCTCCGCGGCCTCCGCCTCAGCAGCAGCGGCAGCCGCGGCGGCCATTCATTGTGGGCCAGGCCGCCCCAGCCGAGCGCCGAGCCATCGCAAGCCGCGCCGCCGCCGCCGCAGCCGGGCTGGGGAGGAGCGGCTGCGGCCCCGCCCCCTCCCGCTAGGCGAGGCCAGTAGAGCGCCGCACGTGCCCATTCTTCCTGTCTCTGCCTCCTGCCTCCGCCCCTTGAAGTCCCCTCCCGTACCTCGTCTCTGTTGGGAGTTCGAATCCCGACCCCGCGACCTCAGACAAGTCGCTCTGCCTTTCAGAACTTTAATTTCCTGTAAAACGCAAACAATGTTTGCTGTTTATTGTGTTTGGCACTGTTTTGGGCTCTTTGTGGGAATGATCTCCTTTAAATGTCACAGTAACATTTTTACGTAGGAATTATTTTACACACACTTTATAGAAAATAAGAAAGGGGAGCATAGAGAGATAAAGAAACCTGACCAAGGTCACACGGCAAGGAAGTGGTGGCAGGTGGCAGGTGGCAGGATTCAAACCCAGGATGAAGAAGCCACAATAAAAATTAACATGCGACGCCAGATTCCGTTCTAAGCATTTTATCTGCACTAACTCGTTTAATTCTCATCACAACCCAGTAAGAAACTTACAAAGATCTGTCCATTTTGCAAATGGGGAAACTTAAGCACAGAGAGGGTTGAGAACAAGAAATAAGGCGAGCTGGGAATGGAACCCAGGCAGTCCAGACCACTATGCTCTCCTCCTTTCCAACACAGGTTAGAACCTACTGGAGGTTTAGTATGTGAGAGGGGCTGCTTGGCACACGTTCCAGGTATTCTGTCGTTTAATCTTTGCTCTATCTTGGAAACTAGGATTCTTATTTAACAAGTAAGGAAAATGAGGTCCACAGAGTTGAAGTAATTTCACAAGAGCATGTGGTAGGACTGGGATTCAAACTCAGTAAATCTGATTTCAGAGCCTGAACTAGGATGTCCTGAAATAATGTTTAGGGCACCCAGCACCCCAGAAGACGATCGATAGGTGTTGGGTGTCTCCGCTTACCGCCCCTTTTCTACCGCCTCACCTTCCTCATCCGTGAAATGGGCTGGTAACTTGTGGCCTTAATTGCAAGGGAGCCGCTGTGATTAAGGCCACCGGCAAAACATGTTCAGCACTTTCTACTGTGAATTTTGATCCTGGCCGCCCACTGTAGGTAGAATCACTGATTGGCCGAATCCTGCCATGTGATCTACCCTGTGCCAACATGGCGGCGCCCAGGTCCTATCCGAGAAATGTGCACCGAGACTAATTCGGTTCTCGGTGCTGCGAGAGAAGGTGAGGAGGGCCTGGGCGGTGCGGAGAGACCTCTGGGTCAGGGGCGGGCCCACTCGAGGGCTTCCGGTTTCGCAGGGGCCTGTCATCCGAAGACAGGGAAAGGTGCCAGCTTACCGAGGCCGCAGGGTCTTCTTAGCCTCTGTTTTACAGACGTTTAGGTCAGGGGCCCGGGAACGCAGCTCTCTAATCCTCTCTATGCCCTCCTGATCCAGGCTTGGCGGGCTGAGGCTCCCGCTGATGTCCGGTGCGAGGATCGTTCTATGGTTAAACCTGACTCTCCGCTCCGCCCGCAGTCTCGGTAGAGCCCGGTTTATGGAGGGGCAGCCCCAAAGGCCGACGAATCCATTCTCAATGGAGAACGGCACGGTGCCCTGCGGAGAAAAGCGCCCACCTGAGGCCAAGGAGACGACGGTCAGCGAGGGGGCCGCCAAGATCGCCTTCCCCAGCGCCAACGAAGTTTTCTACAACCCAGTGCAGGAGTTCAACCGGGACTTGACGTGAGCAGGGGTCCGGGATCAGCTTGGCAGAGGGCAGTGGGTCTGTGAAATGAGGGGATGTGAGCTAGTCTTCGTCTTCCACAGATGTGCTGTCATCACTGAGTTTGCTCGCATTCAGCTTGGGGCCAAAGGAATCCAGAGTGAGTGGAGGTCCAGTCTCCTAGTGGGCGGGGTCACACAGAGTTCTCTCCCTGCCTGGCCCCCTATCCCCTCAAGTCTGGAAAGGCTGGAGGGCTCTGCTTCTTCAGCCTTTCCCTAGGGACCTTGGGGGAAGATTTCCTTCCGTGAATTTTACGTATTCTGAAGAGTTGGAGGAGATTTCTCAGGGAGAGCTTTGGTAGTCCCTGACTTGTGCTTCTGGGTGGCTGCAGTCAAGGTACCAGGTGAGAAGGACGTGCAAAAGGTGGTCGTGGACTTGTCGGAGCAAGAGGAGGACAAGGCTGAACTTAAAGAGGGTGCAAACATGGACCCGGGAGACGAACCTCAAACAGCTGCCGTGGGGGAGATCTGCGAGGTGGGCCTGGACATAGGATGTGGCAGCCCCAGAGTCTAGTGGGTGATGGAGGAAGGAAACCTTCTGGAGGGGGAGAGCTATAGGAGGAGAGTGGTGGGGGATCCTTGAGGCCTAGAAGAGGATGGAGGTACTGATATGAGTGGGGCTTCCTGCTTACTCCCAACAGGAAGGTCTGCGAGTGCTGGAGGGCCTGGCAGCCTCTGGCCTCCGTTCCATTCGCTTTGCCCGAGAGGTGCCTGGGCTCCAATCCGTGGTTGCCAACGATGCCTCTGCCCGAGCTGTGGATCTCATACGCCATAATGTGCAGCTCAATAAAGTTGCCCACCTGGTACAGCCCAGCCAGGCAGATGCCCGGTAGGTTCGGGGCAGCAGAGCGAGGATGGAAGGTGCATTCTGGAGCAAGGCTGCCTGGGGTCAAATCCTGGCTGTGTCATAATCTTACTTTGTGACCGCGGGAGAGTGCCTTAGCCTCTCTGAGCCCCAGTTGCCTTGTCTATAAAATGATGACAATTTTACAGGAGATGCTGTACTGATTAAATGAGAGGTAATACTTGTGTAGCCCACACTCGGTCAGATATAAGTGCTGTTATGGCTTCCATGTTAGTCTCAACTTCTTGTACTTTTATTCGTTCAAATGAATCTATATATATCCACTGTCCACTTTGTATCAGACACCGTTCTCAGTGCATGGAGTGCATCAGTAAACAATACAGACAAAATCCCTGACCTTGTGGAGTTCACGTTCAAATGCAAGGGTCAGCAAATTACAGCCTTTCTTGGCCTGTAGCCTGGTGTTTTATGGCTTGCCATCGAAGAATGTTTTTTATATTTTTAAAGGTTTTTTAAAAAGAAGAAGAATGTGCAGTAGGGACCATGTGTTGCCAACAAAGCCTAAAATATTTACTGTCTGACCCTTTACAGAAAATAAATAAGTAAAAATGTTTCCTTTCCTGGCTATTAAAATCCAATAGGAAACACAGGTGATAAATAATCATGACAAATAAATAAATTACATTGTAAACTGGAGATGAGACGTACTCTGGAAAAAAATGTACAGTTGATGGAGGAAGGTGGCGAGAGAGGGGATTGCAATTTTAAATAACATGGTCAAGGTTGACTATGTTGAGAAGGTAGCATTTGCTTTTACTTACCCTGGAAAGGGAACAATATAGTTCCAAATCCATGGAGTTGTTCGGGACGATTATGTGATTGAATGAGTTAATGTATCTATAAATTGCTTGAAACAATGTCAGGCTACATCAGTACAGCAGCAGATCCTTGAATAATGTCCTTATAATGCTGATGAGAAAAAAAAAATTGATTCCTGGCTGGGGCTACTATTTGTGTTGAGTTGGCACATTCTCCCCATGTCTATGTGGGTTTTCTCTGGAGACTCCGGCTTCCTCCTGCATCCCAAAGATGTGCATGCGAGGTAAACTGGCATGTTATATTGTTCCAGTCTGAGTGAGTGTGGGTGGCCCTGCAATGGAAGGGTGTCCTGTCCAGGGAGGGGGGGGTCCCACCTTGTGCCCTGAGAAACCTGGATAGGCTCCAGTCACCCATGACCCTGAACTGGAATAAGTGAGGTAGAAAATAATGATCTGACTTGTTTTTATTAATCTTTCTTATATGTATGTAGAGCTCGCATTTATTTCATTGTTTAATATCAGAAGTGTTTTGGGTATTTAGAAATTGAGTGATGTTTTTGTGACCAGAAATATGCTGTAGGAACTTAACTCTTATTTAGATCAATTAGCCTATGGTAAAATTGGTTTCATTATACGTCGTTTCGCTTAAAGTTGCAGTTTTCAAGAACCTACGACGACATTGAGTGAGGACTTACTGTATTGGCTGTTATTGCCATTGTTAGAAGTGGGTAGACTGAGACCCAAGGAGGAAAAGTCATGAAGTTAGCAAATGGCCAAACCAGGATCTGAGCCTGGGCCACTGACCTCCAAGTTCAGGCCCAAACCGTCATACTGCATAAGTGAACATGCGTAGGGGACAGAGCAATTCCCTGGTACAGGGGGCTGAGGACCTGGCCGTCTTGCTCCCAGGATGTTGATGTACCAGCACCAGCGGGTATCGGAGCGATTTGAAGTCATCGACCTGGACCCCTATGGCAGCCCTGCCTCCTTCCTGGATGCAGCTGTGCAGGCTGTGAGTGAAGGAGGTAAGGCCAGGTTGATGCAGGGGTACGGAGCAGGGGTTGGGGTGTTTGAAGGATCCTCACTGTGCAGTCCCTTCCTGCAGGGCTGCTGTGCGTGACCTGCACGGACATGGCAGTGCTGGCGGGGAATAGTGGGGAGACCTGCTACAGCAAGTACGGCGCCATGGCCCTCAAGAGCCGGGCCGCCCCCGACACCCCGTCCCCACCCCACCCGCTGATCTGCTCAGCTTCCTCCATTGCAGCATGTCTTTAACCAGCATAGTTCCTAAGAGCATGGGCTGCCAGTCGTGGTCATTTGCAGGTTAATGGCTTTGCCCAAGGTAGGAGTGGTGATTATACTCTTCTTTCTAGTAGTCTCTGTTTTAAGAACTTTCTACAATTGTTTTTTTTAAGGCAGGTTTTCCAGGTCTGGTGGGTTCAGCTCTGGGTTCAGGTCCTTGCTTTGGGCAAGTGACTTCCCCTTTCTGGGCCTCAGATTTGGCATCTGTGAAATGGGCATGATGACGGTGGCCCGGACTACACTGGGCTGCTGTGGGGATTCAAGAAGGCAGTGGCTGGTGACATTGATGGGCCAGGAAAGGAGGAGCTCTGTTCTTGTTCCTCTGTCCACAGTTTGGGAAACCCTGCCTTGTTTTCTATGTTAGAGTGTCACAGCAGCCCCCTTGAATGGAGAAGGCCCCAGCAGTTCTACAGCACCCAGTGTCTCCACTTCCTGCTGACACAGCTCATGGGGGCCAGACCACAGGTCCCTGGGCACAGCATGGGGCACCCTGAAAATGCTAATTGGAATAGGTTCCATTTACTGGGTCTGCGTGCTCCTTAATCACTTAGTGCCCACGGCAGGACCATAGAGATAGAGACTGTTGTGATTTCACAAATGAGGGAACTTATTGTAACACTCACTTGCCAAGGGTGCTGGGCTTGGAACTCAGGGAGCCGGTTCTGACACCTGTGCTGTGAGCACCTTATGTGGAGGCAGGGATGACGGCCGCCATTTCCCCCACCCCGCAGGCCCTGAGGATCGTCCTGCATAGCCTGGACCTCCGCGCCAACTGCTACCAGCGCTTCGTGGTGCCGCTGCTCAGCATCAGTGCAGACTTCTATGTGCGAGTTTTTGTTCGTGTCTTCACTGGCCAGGCCAAGGTCAAGGCCTCAGCCAGGTTAGCAGGGGGCAGGGATGTGTGATGGACTGAGAGAGGCAACAGTGCCTTTCCTTGGGGTGAGGGGGTGTTCCCCTGCCCTGGGGAAATGGGAGTCCTAAAAGGGACTGAGGCAGCCCGAGGGAGGAGTTGGGGTATGGTGGCCATCTCTTTCCCCCCACAGCAAGCAGGCACTGGTGTTCCAGTGTGTGGGCTGCGGGGCTTTCCACCTTCAGCGCCTTGGCAAAGCATCAGGGGCCCCTGGTGGCCGGTAAGCAATGGTGAGCCGGAAGGGAGGTGAAGGGGGCATCCCAGGGTTGTTGCCCCCTAACCACCTCTCTCTGTGCAGGGTCAAGTTTTCTGCAGCCTGTGGTCCTCCGGTGGCCCCCGAGTGTGAGCACTGTGGGCAGCGGCATCAGGTAGAGCCAGGCCAAGGGAGGCGGGGGGGCTCACAAGGGTCCCGGTGGTCTTGTTCCCTGTCCATGTGGCCATTGTGTCTGCAGATTGGTGGTCCCGTGTGGGCAGAGCCCATCCATGACCTGGATTTTGTGGGCCGTATCCTAGAAGCTGTGAGCACCAACCCCAGCCGCTTCCACACTTCGGAGCGGATCCGAGGAGTCCTGAGCGTTGTCACTGAGGTGGGGGCCGAGCCATGACGGAGGGGGCTTGCCTGTGCCCAGCTTCTTCTGCCCCATGCCCATCCCATTGTCCCCCCTGGCAGGAGCTGCTGGACGTGCCTCTGTACTACACGCTGGACCAGCTGAGCAGCACCATCCACTGTAGCACACCTAGCCTCTTGCAGCTGCGGTGAGGGCTGGGCGAGGGAGGAGCAGAGCCTGAGTGTTAGGTGCCCTGGGCAAATTGGGCCCCTTTTGGGCCAGAGTCCCTCATAAAATGGAGATCAAACATTGCTCACATCCAGGGCTTCTCGTGTACAAGTACTTAGAACAGCTCAGAGGCCAAGAGCCCTGGCCAGGGAGACAGTCTAACTATTACAGTCACTGGCATTACACTGGCCATGTAGTCACTGTGTAATATGCAGCAAGCCTCGCCAGTCTATGTGACATGATTCACACCCTCACAGGTCAGCTCTGGCTTTGGGGTCCAGCCTCCCCCTCATGGCCCCTCTTGGTCCCCAGGTCGGCCCTTCTCCATGCTGGCTTCCGGGTCTCACTCTCCCATGCCTGTAAGAATGCTGTGAAGACGGATGCCCCTGCCTCGGTCCTCTGGGACATTATGCGCTGCTGGGTGAGGGCTGGCCTGACCATATGGGGGTAAGAGGTCAGGGGAGGGCAGGCACAGTATCCTCTGTCCTCTGACCTTTGCCTCCTAGGAGAAGGAGTGTCCAGTGAAACGGGAGCGGCTGTCAGAGACCAGCCCGGCCTTCCGCATTCTCAGTGTGGAGCCCAGGTAGGGATGCGGACACGGCTGCCACAGGCATAGATGCTCACGTGCATGCTGATGACACAGGCACTTCCCTACACAGAAATGTTCTAGTTCTTCAAGTGAGATCCAGAGTCCACCTTTTCTCACCACTTCTCCAATGCTCCTCTGCTCCTACCCTGGTCCAGCCCCATCACTGCTCACCTAGACCAGTGTAGTCACCTCTGTCCTGGTCCCCAGCTCCCACCCCACACCCCAAGTCTGTTCCCCCTACAGCAACCAGAGGGTGCCTGTAAGCACCTGAGTCAGATATGTCCCCCTCTGCTCATAACTCTCTGTGGCTCCCACCTCACTCAGAAACAAAGTTTCCCCTGCCCCATCTGCCTGTCCCCTCCTGCACTCATTTATCCCCACCCTCTCCCTTGCCTTGCTCACTCCACACTGGCATCCTTACTCATACTCACCAGGCACAGCCCCACCTCAGAGCCTTTGAACGGGCCATTCTCTACCTGGAATGCCTGTCCCTGGGTGCCCCCCATGGCTCTTCCCCCACCCCCTTCAGGTGTCCCTGACTGCCCTGTCCTGCATTGCACCCCTTCCCTCTACCCAAAACTCTTATCTCATGCCCTAACACAATGTGATTTGCTGATTGCTGATTTGCCCTGTTGCTTGTCCATCTCGTACATTAGAATGTCAACGGCAGATTTCAGACACACAGTAGGTACTTGATAGGTGTTTAGTAAATGAATGAGAGAATCCTGATACGGGCAGACACAGTCTTCCCAAGTCACACTGAGAGGCACTAAGGGGGTTTGGGTGGTTTGTTGTGCATGTCTCTGTGGCAGCTGCCCCCCAACCCCAACCCCCCTCCCTAGGCTGCAGGCCAACTTCACCATCCGAGACGATGCCAACCCCAGCTCCCGCCAGCGAGGACTCAAGCGCTTCCAGGCCAACCCTGAGGCTAACTGGGGCCCCCGGCCCCGCGCCCGGCCAAGGTGAGTGAGAGTGGTGGTGGTGGGGCTTGGCCAGGGCCGGGGTGCGGAGGCCAGATGGGGTCCCAGCTGCTTATCTCCCTACACAGGGGCAAGACAGTAGGCGAAGCTATGGAGGACAGACGCAAGCTGTTCCAGAATAAGCGAAAGGAACTGGCTGAGGACCCGGCCCAGCGGGCTGCCCGGCTTAAAACATTTCCTTGCAAGAGGTTCAAGGAGGTGAGGCTCCCCCCCCACACACAAACACCTCCCACTGCAGCACAGACTGCAACAGGCCTGGGAGAGCTAGGGATGAGCAGGAGTCTGGGAGTCAGCTCCCCATCCAGGAAAGGAACCCAGTGGAGGCCGCTGAGCTCTGGGCCAGGGTTCACATGCATTATCGTCTCACCAGGGCACCTGTCAACGAGGGGACCAGTGCTGCTATTCCCACAGATCTCCGACACCCAAGGCCACTGCTGAAGCCACCTGCACTAATTGTCCACAGACTCCCAACCAGAACCCACCTGGGCCTGGGGCCACTGCTGGTCCAGGCATAGATTGAGCCAATAAAGAGATGTCACCTTACCCTGATGGTCATTTGCCTGAGTGGAGGCTGCCTGTGGTTTGTCTGTCCATCTGTCCAGCATGTGTCTGGGGCCTTTTCCTTTGTCCCTGGGAGAGCTCTGTGGATCTAGGGGTTGGTTTGTTTCTGCCTGACTGAGGTGTTGTCAGTGTTTCTGCCCAGGGCTTCTGTCTGTATGGGGGAGTGGTCTGTCCCTTTGCAGGAGGAGGCACTTGGGCACCCTGCACCCGGTTGCTGGCGCCTGCGGTTCCCAAGGCGGCCACGGGGCGGCAGCCATGCGCTCGCAGCCGCGTCGCACCACCCACCCAGTTGGCTTGCTATGGACTCAGGCACGCGAGCAGGCCAGTGCCACCGAGGCTCCCACGTGGCCTCACACCGCCCCCTCCTCGCTGCCTGGTTTCTCTGGCCCAGCTCCCCGCGGGGCCGCAGTGGCGGAAGCCAGACCGGAACCAGGCGCCTTGTGCATCCGTTCCAGACCAGGTGCTTCCTGCCCTGTGGCCCCTCGGGCCTGGCGCACATGGAGGCACCAGGCAGGCTGCTGCATCCTACCCCCAAGAGCAGGCCTTAGAAACGTTAACGGAGAGGCCTGGGGCAGAGTTCCCACTCTGCCACGTGGTAACTGGGGGACCCCAGAGGTACCCTTCACCTTGCTCCATCCACAAAAGTAAAATGAACCTGATCCCAGAACCCGCTTTATAGGGACATCAGTTCACTCAGTGCTTAGAAATGGACCTTCACTTCTCTGAGGCAGTGGGACGGTTGGTGGTGGGGACCCGGTGTCCCCTGGTTCCTGGGAGGGTGGTGGTAGTGTTGGCACTAGGTGGCAGCTGAGGGCCTACCTGGCAGCTAGCTCCTCCAGTCACTCAGACACAGGACAAAGTACGACTGACCCAGGTGAGAGGATGCTGGGGATCAGGAACAGTCTTGTCACTGCTACCTAACTGTACCCAGGACCCCCCCTCCTGCCTTTGTGAGGCTCCATCTGAGTCTTGAGTTTCATCACCACCCAGGACATTCACCCAACACCTCTTTTATCAACATCCACCCTGAAGTAGCCCGGCTGTGGGTTAAGGGCCAAGGACCACCAAGGTGGGGGGCTATGTGATCCTGTGACCTAGAGGACCAGGATTGTGCGGACATGCTAGGGGCACCTATCAGAAGATTCTGACAACATTGTCACTGTAGGAAACTCCCGCAGCTGTGGCCCTTCCTGTCACCCTCCTGGATCTGGAAAGGTGGTGTGGGTAGTTCGCTGGGGACCCAGGACACCTGCCACACTGGACACCCAAGATCAGACTGTTAGAACTGCCCTCCCACCAGTGCCCCCACTCCGGAGGCATGCGGGTGGCAGAAAGGCCGGGGAGGGGCTCTTAAAAAGAGGAACCAGGCAGGGGAGGAGGAGGAGAAGGAGGGAGCTCTGGGTCAGGTCACGAGGCCCCAGCAGGGCCGGAAAGGGCTCTCCACCCCCATCAACATGGACATGGCTGGGGGTGTTCAAAGCTGTAGGCCAGACCCAAGCCACACAGGAGGCCACTGCTTCCCTGACTCAGTTACCCCTCTGCATGCATCCAGGCATCTCACTCCCAGCTGTGCACTGGGGCTGGGTCCTCAGAGGGCCAGGGTCCCTCCAGTGACAGGGGGAAGGGAAGGTGAGGCCCTGAGGGGTGAGGGCCAGTCCTGACTGTGGAGGGCGGGGCATGAGGTTGCTCTCGGAGATCCCCGCCCTCTGGTTTCCTCCGGGGTCAGCCCGGCTCCTTATCAGTCTCAGCCAGGCAGCCAGGCCCTTATCTGCACTGGCCCAGCATCCTCCAGCCACTGCACCGGGGGTGAGAGGGAGGAAACCGGGCTGCCGGGGGCGGGGAGAGGGCGGGCCAGCCCGGAGCCGCTCACTTTCTCTCCAGGGACCCAGGCCGCTGCCCCAAGGCCCTTGGGAGCCTAGGAAGAGGTGAAGCCAGACAGGGCAGCCGGCTGCCAGGGGCACAGAGCAAAGAGACTGGACGGAGCAGAGTCACGGAGCCTGGCCTGGAGCTGGAACCACATCTTGGCTCTGACCGACAGAGCCAGGGTACTCAGCAGGCAGCAGGACCAGCACAGGGGTAAGAGGAGAGCGGCCTGAGGGTGGGAGATCCCCAACCCACCTGCACTCATTCATTCGTTCCTGCCTTCATTCATTCATCTGCAAGAATTCACTAAGCGAGAGGCCAGGTCAGCTTCCCCAGAGACCAGCTAGGGAAGATAGGACAGAGGGACTAGGTGTCCCTGATATTGCTGGGACACTCCAGGCCATGGGGCCAAGAGTGAACAGGGACATCTAAGCAGGGTGCAAAGGGATGCTGGTCGGGCGTGGGTTGGGTGGGGTCACCAGGGCCAGGAGGATTGGGGCATGACTATATGTACTGGGCAGTGGGGTCACAGAGTTAGTGAGGTGGACATTTTTAATGGGAGTGGTGATCCCTGGAGTGATCATGGAGGATGTTCAGGGTCTGACGGGGAGGCAATGGGAAAAGCCTCAGGGTCCTAGCTGAGGGCCACAGGGTCCACCTGGGAGAGAGGGGGTGGTCAGTGAAAGGTCAGAGTCAATTATAGAGGGGTTCCAAGGTCACACAGTATCAATGAAGGTTGTCAGGATCAGATCTGAGGGTTACAGGGTCATCTTGGGAGTCCCAGGGTCTGGCATGGGTTCCCTGCCTTACCCCTCCCTATAGGCTCCAGGTGAGGGGATTCTGGAAGAAGGGAATTTGCTCAGGGGCTGGGCAATTGAGCTCTTCATGGGTCACAGACAGCTCAGAGACCGCTGGGCTCATCGCTGCACAGAATCTCACTGGGCACCTCCTGCCCTTGTATCAGACCCTCCTCCCATTATCTGGCAGTTTCTGGGCCTACCCCTCTACCTGTCTTTGCCCACTGAACTGTCACCCAACTACTGTCCCTTCCATTTGAGGGCTTTGTTGGGCTAAGGGAGTGTGTGGCATCTGATCCTTCTCCCCACTGGCTTCCTTCTCTTCCGCAGGTGAGCACCCCCTTGGGGTCCATGTGCCCGCCCCAGGCCCAGGCAGAGGTGGGCCCCACCATGACTGAGAAAGCTGAGATAGTGTGTGCTCCCAGCCCAGCACCTGCCCCGCCCCCCAAACCTGTCTCCCCTGGGTCCACGAAGGCGGAGGAGTTGGACCATGGAGGTACCTCATCCCCCAGGCTGCCCCCTGGTGTCCCGGTGATCAGTCTGGGCCACACCAGGCCCCCAGGGACAGCCATGGCCACCACCGAGCTAAGTGCCCTGCGGCCCCCGCTGCTACAACTCTCCACCCTGGGAAGCACCACAACCCCTCTGGCCCTGCATTACCATCCTCACCCCTTCCTCAACAGGTCAGTGGGGGGCTGGGGCCTGGAGGCAATCCGGGGCCAGGGGTCCTTGCCCACAAGGCGTTAGTGACCCATGAACCGTTACAGCTTCTACATTGGGCCGGCAGGACCTTTTGGCATCTTCCCTAGCAGCCGGCTGAAGCGGAGACCAAGCCACTGTGAGCTGGAGCTGACTGAGGGTGAGTGTGGGTTTGTGTCAGCATGGGGTCCATATCTGTTCCACACCTTTCCACAAGGAGAGGTGTGCTAGTGCACACAGACACACACAGGACAGCCCACATGGGCTCAGTACTCATGTTACATCCATGCACAAAACCACAGTCCCATGGCCAGTCCCATACAACCACAGTCACTCAACAAGCCACAAAGAGTCTTGGCAAACAGCATGGCACAGGGGCCACAAAATGACAGCTCCACTCGAATGCACAACCACCCAGGAAGCAGCTATCAACAATCACCATGCAAGAGACAGCCACGGGACCACAACCACACAGGAGACAGCCACACAGCTACAGCCATTTAGGACCATGGCCACACAAGAGTCAGCCACACAACCACATCCATGCATGACACAGCCACATGGCAACAATCACATACAACCACGGCCTTTTAGGCAGACCATGAGTCACACAGCCACCTGCTACACGGACAGGACCACAATCACAATAAGAGTATCTCTCAGACTCATGAGTACCCCCAGACACAAACAGGGGCACACCCAGAATGAGGACTACAGGGACAGCTTCCTAGACTCAGCCACAGGGAAACATCTCCCTGGGGACTTCAGCCAGTGACATAAAGATGCAGACAGTCAGAGGTACAGAGGCCCCAGCTATCTGCAGTCTGAGCCTGTCCTTGTCTAGATGGCTGAGGGTGAGGGGCGCCGAGGATTGCTAACTGGCAGGGAAACCACACACGAATCCTATACGTGGATCCTTTGGGTGGAGAAAGCCCCAGCTCACCGCCTGTGTGAAGTCCCCACCAGGATGCTGGGTGCTAGACGTGAGGGCAGGAGGGGGCGCCCCCTTGGCGACATCCCTGTCCCTCCTGTCCATAGGGCACCAGCCCCAGAAGGTGGCCCGGCGTGTGTTCACCAACAGCCGCGAGCGCTGGCGGCAGCAGAACGTGAACGGTGCCTTTGCGGAGCTCAGGAAGCTGCTGCCGACGCACCCGCCCGACCGGAAGCTGAGCAAGAACGAAGTGCTCCGCCTCGCCATGAAGTACATCGGCTTCCTGGTGCGGTTGCTGCGAGACCAGGCGGCCGCTCTGGCTGCAGGCCCCACCACTCCCGGTCCCCGCAAACGGCTGGCACACCGAGGCCCGGACGAGGGTGCCCGCCGCGGGCCATGTCGCCGGGCCGAGGTGGTGGTGCGCCCCCAGCCCGCGCCCCCGTCCTGCCCAGATAGCAGCCCCGGGGGCGCGGCCCGGCCCATCAAGACGGAACAAGCGGCTGTCAGCCCGGAGGTGCGGTGACCTCTGAGGTGTTGCCTCTGAGCCGATGAGCACTGGGAACTCAGCCCAGGGCCGTCGAGGAAGGCGCGGACCACGCACTGGGCCTGCTCTGGAGCGAAGTCCCCCGAAGAGGGACCAGCGAGGACGTCCCCTTAAGGGGAAAGGGCCAGGGGTCTGTCGTCCCCAGGGGCCCTGCAGACCTTTTTATCACCTAACGCCCGCTGGAAGTGGCCTTGCCCGCGTCCGCCTCCCGGAGGCGAGGTCCGGGAACCAACATGGCAGAGCGGTCATCGGACCCAAGTGGTGCCTCTTTTTTGCGGGCTGGGGCGGGGGTCACCGAGACGTGGGGTGCGGCCCGGGGGCCTTCCGCTTCCCGCCGGCGCCACCTCCGGCAGACTCGATACACGCGCCTCCACGGCGTCCGCAGCGCGCCTGGCGGGTGGAGAGAGACGCAGAGTCCACGCGGGGCATCATCCCACCTAGCCCGACCCAGCCCCGCACGGTCGCATTAGCGAAGGCTCAGGCGCTCTTGTTTTTGTTTTTCTTTATTTCTTTATTTCACATACACATTAGCCATTCAATGGAGAAGCCGGAGAGTCAGGCAAAGATGGTATAACAGAAGCGCAGTGACGGGGGCGGGGTTAGGGCGGGGCAGAGAGGGGACAGACGGGCTGGCTGCCTACTTGCATTCCGCTAGGACACTGAAAACCCAGAAAACAAAACAGACAGTAAACTACCCTTGTTTCTTATGTATCTCAGTGCAGAGACGGGGGTGGAGGGCAGAGAGAAGGGGAGACCAGGCTGAAGGAGGAGAGGGGGGACAGGGGACGCTAAGGGGAAGCACACCAAATCCATTAGTACTATATATAGAGATACTCGTATATACTGCGTTTCTTAGCCTAGGAAGAAACTTGTTTGACGGGACGGGCGGCCTTTGCGGTCCGCGATGCTGGTGCTGGTCGGGCGCACGGATCTCCCGGGAGGGGCCGAAGCGGGGCTGGCCCAGGCTGGCTTGCGGGGGGAGGGGGGCGCCCCGAGGGTGGGTAGGTGGGGGGAGCAGAGGTGGGGCTGGAGTGCCCCTCGGGCTCTCGATTGGGGGACGAAAGTTCTCGTGACTTTATTGCTCCTTTATCTTCTTCCGTGGTGTGTGTGTGTGTGTGTGTGTGTGTGTGTGTTTGTGTGTAGGTCCGTTCAGCACGGTCGGGATGGGGAAGTGGTGGGTCGTCTGAGCCACCCTACCCCTCTGGGACCCAGAGCGCGGCGTCCGCTCCGCCAGCACGGGGGTGAGAACAAGGCACTAGGTCGGCCGGCCAGCGCGGGGGCGGGTGTATAAGGCAGTCAGTCGACAGGGCTGGTTTCCGGGTGGGGTGGGCTGTGTGCGGGCCGTGTGCGTGCGTGCGTGCGGGCGCGGGCCTGGGCCAAAACGACCTGGCAGCTTGGCTGGTCCTGTCCTGGAGCGTCGAGCCTTTCCCGTGCTCCCCGAAGGTTGACGGGGGTGGGGATGGGGTGGAAGGAGTGATGTTGAGTCGTGGGCACCGGGGAAGGTCGGGGAGAAAACTACCAACTTGCTGAGCGCGCTCCAGATAATGCTGGTGAGGGTCAAGTTGGCGTCTGGCTCAAAGAAGGGCGCTCGAGGCGGAGAGGGAGGGAAGGAGGGGACATTTGTACGTTGGCATTGACCTCTGCGGGGTAGGGGCTGGGGCCCCCCGCCGCGCCCCCGTGCCCGGAAGGGGAGGGGCGAGGAGGGGGCGCCGGGCCCCGGGGGTGGGGCGCCCGAGGAGACCCGCGGCCAGAGCAGCCCCGCCGCTGGGCGCACGCCGCTGTCCCGTTCCGTTAAACTCAACAAAGAAGGGATATGCGTGTTCCTAACAAGTGCAGGATATTTAATTGATTCATAAACTTATGTATAATAGTTTGTGGGTTTTTTTAAAACGTACTTTATAATGTAAGAAGCACCAGGGTTTTTATGTTGAATTACCTTAAAAATAATTTTCTCTCGTCCTTTTCCTTTTTGATCGTGTTGATTTTTTTTTAAATGTCGAGGTGTTTTTATTTTTTTTAACTCTAAAATGTGAACGTTTTCTTCAGCCCTCCCACCGAAACCGAGAACGAACGACGAAACAAATAAAAACCCCAGATCATCCTTGTCAACGCAGGAAAACGACTTAAAAAAAAAAACAAAAACTGAAAACAAAAAAAAAACAAAAAAAAAAACACTCAGCTTTCGTTATCCCCGCGAAGGGCGGGGCAGGCCCGGTTCTTTTAGCGTCCCCAGAGCCGCGAGGACATTACAACAAAAATAGAATTTTTTTCTTAACAATCTCTTAAAATACAAAGATAGGAAAACTCTCTGATGCATTGCACTTGGTTCAATGAAAAAAAAAAAGTTCATTTCCCCCATATATATTTTTGTGTTTTTTTTTTCTCTTCTAACACGTCCCCACATCTCCTGTCGCCCCTCGTCGCCTCTCGCCTGCCCCTCACAACGACACTTGGGAACGGAGCGGCCCCCACCACCCTGTCCTCCGGGGCAGCCCCGCCGGCACACTCCGTCCCGGCCCAGCTGGCCTGCAGCTTCCGACTTCGCCGGGGCGGGCGCCCCGCAGACCCCGGCTCCCGCGGGCCTGCACGCCCGCGGCCCCGATTGTCTTCGAAGGAAGGGGCACATGCGGCGGGGCAGGGGGGGTCCCTTCCGCTCCCCTCTCAGCTCTGACCCTGTTTAGCCAACCAAACTGAAAAATCATTGCACTTTGACCGCGCGTCACGCCCGGCCCACCCGGCCCCCCA